CATGCAGCTTTAATTACATAACTGTCAGGCTCTGAGGCTGAATGACAAAAATAACCTTATTACATGTATACATTAAACGGTTGAGTACATAGAGCACAAGTATAGTGTGTCATTAGGAACACAGCTTTAGAAAGCCTTAGCACACCATGTATCAACACTTTGGCAACCACCAATAATACCTTAGCATAATGGTGGTAAGAAATTCAAAAAATATATAACTATTATAAATTTCAAGACAATGTACAATATTGACGCCCAATAGTTTCATAAGATAAGGCCCTGAAAAAAAAAATCTAATTTATACATATTTGACCACGTACACAAACACACACTTTGTTTTAAAACACACAAATACATATTTTTCCACATGGTTGCTGTCTCTTAACTAACTCGTGTCTGTTTTAATTCAGCCTTATTTTTACGAGATTTGACCATATGACCTCTTGTTTCCAGAACTCAGACACCCCTCTACCAACCTATCCTCTTTCATTCTTTCTTCTGAGGGCCAATAGCATGAAAAAACACTCTCAGCGTGGCACATTCTTTCTGTTTTCAACACAGACTCTCACAATATCTTCTTTTCATTTCCTCGCGTGGACGGCAAAAGCAAGAAACAGGAAAACACTCAACAGAAGGATGGAAAATGTTGAATAACGAAGGACGTCGTGGAAACCTTTACTGTTACATGCACAACTTTACAGTTCTCTACACAAGCACCACATCAAATATCAAATAAAAAAAGCACATACTGCCATCTGTGATACAGACTGTTGCCGATTCTTCTGCAGTTCCTCTGGAATCTCAAAACACAGCTGAAAGTGGACGAGGAGCCGTTTTCACAATAGTCTTATCTATCAAAATTGCTTCCTGTTATTGTGGATCCCTCCCTCCCCACGAAGCCTTTCAGACCCCGCTGGAGTGACCTAATAACCCCCACCACAACATTACCACAACAGAGGCTCAAATACCACGCCAAAGGCTCATTCAAACCCGTCAATACACAATCAACACACTGATTAGCCTTTGCATCACAGCACACAGAAATCATGCTTTACTTAATAGGCTACCTGACTGTAATGGAGATTTACATCACGGCTATCAGACTCATCCGGGTCGCTTTTAAAGCCGTCTCTTATGCTCATCACCAAGCCTGCATTTATTTGATCGAAAATACAGTAAAATCATGTGAATAATTATTATTACGATTTAAAATAACGGATTTAATTTATTTCTGCGATTGCAAAGCTGAATTTTCAGCATCATTACTCCAGTTTTCAGTGTCACATGATCCTTCAGAAATCTGTAATAGTTTTTTCTTTCAGGATTCTTTGATTAATAAAGTTCAAAAGAACAGCATTTATTTGAAATAGAAATCATTTGTAATGTTATTTTACTGTCACTTTTGATCAGTTGAATCCATCATTGCTAAATAAAAGCAATAATTTCTTTGAAAAAATAAATTATAGACTTTCACATAGATAAATTATATGTGATTAACAAAAAAAAAATTTTGTTGTCATCTTTTTTTCAAAAATGAGTCACCCTAAAACTCACTCTCTTTTAGATACTTTTTTTCTAGTTGTAAGTTGTCTCAATTTCCTGAAGGATAAGTCATAGCCTACATTTTCTCCCACTAAATATTTTTTCACTTATCAGTACATCACATTCCGAAAAGAAAATAGATTGTGAACGTCACTTCATGTCCACTTTAAGTAGCCACAAAGTATTATATTCTAAAACAGAATTGCTTTAAAAAATAAAACCGTGATATGTGTCAATCTGTCCTAATTCCTTACTGAATTAAAGCAAAAATTTACTTGACTTCACAACATATACTTGCTTTTATATGATGACATGAGCTTTTTTGCTCACCAGTCACTGTGGCTAGTGATTTTCCAAAGTTACTAGCCACTCAGCATTTTCACTGGCCACAATTTTGACATCAATATTGGGGAAATATCGATTTGACACCATGGGGAAAACTGCCATATAGATATTTTTTTAATTATCTCATAATTTGGCAGCAGGTATATGAGGCTGCTGTCACTTTAAGCCCTGACGCACAGATCTATTATACAGTTACACATGCGTTTTCTTTCTCAACTGTTTACATGCACTTAAACATAACTGACTGTGTTTACATGAATACGGCAACATTATTTTGTGTGTATTTGACTGTTTAAGCGCAATAAGCAGCGAAAAAGAACTTAATTTAGTACTGAGACGCGGCTTTGTGCTGCACTTTGGGTGTTTGAGGCACAAAATCTGCGGGAATAAGTAAAATTATGCATAATACGCACAATCCCACGCCGAAATTCAAGCCCTGTAACAGCAACCATATTCATCCGGAGCAAATGAAACGAGTGAGTGAGGAGAGGCGGGTTTGTGTGCCAAGCCCTGGATGCCACTATGATGCCATCCATTTTTCAAAACAGAAAATAAAGAGATTTATATATACATAATTCTACACCATCAAGTGTTACTCGAACTAGCATTGGTCCGTGGGGATTATGTAATAGGTGGGTGTGGCTCAGAGGCTCCGCCTTCTTTGGCGTGGAAATAGTTGTAATTCCAATTGAAAGTGACACTGACACGTCAATGGCGTATTTTTTCATGTTTAATACTGTAAAGCTGCTTTGCTAAAGCAATCTATTATAGCAAGTGCTGTATAAATAAACGTGACGAGATTTGACTGGAGTGCTGAATTGCAGAGCTCGTGCAAACATCCACATCGCTGTGATCAGATGCTTTTTATTAACTGCTGTTTCTTACCACTGTCCTTTAAGTGGTGTGTTTATTTTGTTATTGAGAGGAAAGAGCACAGCACATATTTTCATATTCATTAAACGGTGCTAGTATTTCAACCTGTTTACCTCTAAGCAAAGAACGAAAAGAACTTCTCTGTGAGTATACAGGGCCTTTATGCAGGGGCACAGTGGTTAATAGCCGTGGTTAAGTGTGTGACACACTCGGATTTAACCAACAAAGTTGTTATGGTGATGATAGTCCCACATGGCGACCAAACCCAAGAGACTGAAGTGTTGCCAGGCTGAGTCTCTCTGCGCAGTGGTGTTTAAGTCACCATTAATAGTTGTAAATACTCTAGCTGCAAATAAATGCGTCGAAACATGATTCGGCTAGCCTCATTCTTTAATGTGAAAAGACTAGGAACAGGCCACAACACAACCCAGATTTTACAACAAACAAATACAACCCCTTTACACATGGTCTGTGCCATCTCTGTTGTAAAGCTCGGGCTGGTTTTGTCTGCTGACACACCCACACAGTTCTGACAAAGGACCATCAATGACGTCCCAGGACTCACATATTCAAACACGACCTGGGAGCTTATTCAAATAGAGCTACTGGCTAGCACGATAATGTGGTCAAAAGTGGACAAAAAGTTATGGAGCGAATTCAAAATGGATTAGGTTTCATAGTATTATAGGCCACTTTCATCTCATTTAAAACCATCATGGTAAATACATATTAAACATCACCAAATACATATTATGACAACTGTAAAGGCCTTCAAAGAATACTATGCCATTACCATAGTAGTCATGGATCTCAACTGGTGGGTTGCATCCCAAAAATCTGTTCTGATCGGGTCACAGGCATCAGGGATAAAACAATAAATGAATATAATAAAAGGCAAACATGCATATTCATCATAATTTTGAAATGTACAAGCTAAACTGTTAAAATGGAGGAGAGAAAGCTCTACATTTGACCTCAAAGGCTGTTTGACTAATCAAACTTTATTTTACAGATCTATAAGGCTAATACTAATAAATAACTTTTAGCAATATGTTTGGCTGGCAAATCACTTCTGTTGTTTATGCATTTGCAAAATTGTCCGGTTTCCTATTCAGCCCATGCATGTTAATCATTTTTGCATATTGTTTAACCTATCCAGTTCATTTAAAATATTTTAACACTGTAAAAAATGTCCACCTAATTCAACTTGTCAGTTGATGTCTTCAATTTTTAAGTATAATCAAATCAGCAAATTAGTGAAACTTGAACAACCCTAACTGCTTAAATTATTTTGACAAGTTAAAGTAATGCAAAAATTTAAGTTGGCATTAGTTACTGATCATATCATGTTGGGTTTTTTTACAGTGAATGGTTGAGTTTAATAAACATTTTAAACAATTTGGGTACAGTGATGTCTGATGTAAAATCTGGCCCCTGAGGCAAAACCAGTTGAGAAACACTGATGCAAATTAAATTCACAATTTCTCTAGATTGTGGCTAGTATCTAAACCTTCTTAATGTATAATGATAACATTAACGATTAAAAAAACACACACTTATGAACAATACAGCTGTCAAATGTGACTACAGTAAATTATACATCACAAGTACAAACGGACAAAAAAAGATTCTAATTCTGTGGCAGTGCCATGGTTTAATGACGGTAATAGAGTTTGAATAGAGTTTTATTTTGATAGATACCATAATGAAATGGTAGGCTACTTCGAATAATAACATCTCATTACCATAGGCATTGCATAGTTTTAGAAATAATAAAACTAAATCCTCGACGATTTACAGTGGTTTTAAAGTATACGCATGCGCCAACACAACACCTTTGGAATGTTGATCGAATCCTAGGAAGTTTTTGATTCTGCCCCGTTTCGCTCCCCTGGTTGCCATGACGATGAAACGCGAGAAAGAACGCTTTCATGTGGCGCGCTCTGCGTCAGTCAGACCTGCTGGAACGGACCTCGTGCATGTGGACTTAACGTGATCTTAGGAAGCGAAAACCACCGCAAAGCATTCAACCCATTGAAGTGCTTAAGTCTTGCAAGGGAATAAACGAAAGAATATAAGGCGAACTGCTTCAAAAACAAACGAATAAGCCAGTAAAACCACAGGTCACACACTGCTGGATTATTATTGTCATGCAATGTGCGCGCATTTAGTCTATATTAAGTAAACAAATGACTGATATACAGCATAATAAGAATGATATAAATAAAATAAAAACTCACTGTTTTTGAATCCAACTCGTGTCTGTTTTGGGCCAAAACTTTATCCACACCGGTCTGGTCTACATAGGTGACAAATCCAAAGCCCCTGCGCAAAAGCAGTGCATGCACACACATTACGCATAAGAGTTAAGTTACAAACACACACAAACAACAAGTCAGCAGTGGATGTGCGCGCGCCTCCCCCTCACCTCGACCGCTTCGTAACCGGATCCCGCATCACCATACACTCCTTCACCTCGCCGAATTTACAAAAGTATTCCTTCAGTCCCTCTGGAGAAAGAAAACAATACAATGCGTTTATTTCACAGCACCAGTTTAGTGACACAAATCGTGTTTGATGTACCTTAAACAAAAAAGCTCGCTGCTAGTTCAGCATTGAGACTGCTCATCTGTGACCACTTTGCATCCCAACAATAGCGCTCCTTATAAAGCTCTGGTAAGCATTCTTATTATAATGTTCTAAGTTAAGCTGGGTAGCCTATTTGAATAACAACGCAGGTATACATAGTGCGCTTGCCCTCGGAGAGATTTTCCACTCTGCATGTTGCATATATTCAAGCAAGCACATCAGTGCTTCCTCGCTAGCGCCCTTGCTTTCACCTCAAATCTCCACGAGCTCATTATATAGCGAGGAAGTTTTCTGACCAAACATGTTACGCATTGATCTATGAATCATCTTCTACGTAATAGGCTCGTGCGCTGAATGCATGCTTTGATTTCACGGTGTATGGACTACTATTTGCTTTCTGTTTCTAGCCAAACAAACATTCTGAAAGAAAACATGCTCCTATAAGCTCACAGCAACCCATGCATGAGAGTTTTTAGTGGAAGTATCAGGCAGGACAGAGGATCACGCGTGTCTCACCTTGTGTCGTCTGCCAGCTCAGCCCGCCGATGAACATTTTGCTGAAAGGTGAAAAACAGAGCCAGATCAGACATCTGAAACGCGATTGATTGCTGATGCATGTGCACATACAGTAATCAACCCGCCAGAATAACAAGAAATCAAGTGGAAAAGTGAAATTCGGCCATGATGGATGCGTGCCGTTATTTCCAATGAAAACGCAGAATTAATTATTTCCTCTCCTCTAAAAAGTAACAAGTTCGATCATACCCTTTTGAAAGGGCGAAATGGAATGTAAAAATATAGCAGGCTGAAAACAATGTAACAGCTCCAAATGTAACAGATGGAAACAATGTAACAGCGCGCGTCCTGGAAAGAGGGAACATGGAAACAATGTAACAGTGAGGCTCCTGGCTGTTACATTGTTTCCATTTTCGCTCTTTCGTAAAGGGACCCGCGCTTCTGTCTTTTGTCTCCGGTGGTCTCTTCCCTCCTGGTCCCAAAACTCTCAGCTTTATATATAGTAGGCTATATAGATCTCCAGTTCGCGAGGAAAAGTCAAACGGAGCGCGCAGAAAGGAGCTTTACCAGGGATCGTGCGGGGAGTCCTGCGTGGAGGACGACAGGCTGCTCTGACTCCCTTCTGTGTCCATTCCCGTGTCCCTCTGTTGCCCGGACTGAGCCGAACGGGAGCCAGGAGTCTCCAACTCAAGAGCGGGTGGCCCGAGGGGGTGGGGGAGGGAGGGGCCCGTCTGGATGAGGACGGGCCAAGTGGGGTTTGCGCAGACATTGAGGCCCCGCCTCCCGTTTGACTTTTCCCGGACTCTAGATGTCGACTCCGCCCTCTCGCTCTCCCTGGCCCCGCCCCCCTCCTGCTTTCATGTGCTGTTGTACAGTAGCAGAAGCAGAGGCGAAACGTGGTCAGTCTGAAGAAAGAGACAGAAAGACAGACGGATAAATGGATGGATGGATAAACGGATAGTGTTGATTACAGGCAGGGATATAAAGAAATGCGGTCAAACAGACTGAATAAAAATAAAAAGTAGGCCTATACATTTATAAACAGATAGATAGATAGATAGATAGATAGATAGATAGATAGATAGATAGATAGATAGATAGATAGATAGATAGATAGATAGATAGATAGATAGATAGATAGATAGATAGATAGATAGATAGAAAGAAAATCAGTCAAACAGACTGAATAAAAATAAAAAAGTATACATTTATAAACACAGACAGATAAAAAGATAGATAGAACGACAGGACGATAGACAGATGTGAGTTTGTCTAGCTAGCATATTCATGACTTCTAAGTGACTGGACTTGATCTATTGTGTGTACCATCAACCAAACCAAGCCAGTGCCGTCTATAGCCAAGCGTTAGGCAATATCATTCAGCATCAGGGTGAGTTTGGTGATTGGTAGTCTGGATTCCAGTCGGCCTGAACTGGCACAAAGTCAAGAGCAGGTGATTGGTGGTTTTGCATGAGTGGGTGGGACTGACAGACTGACCACAAGCATCCGTAGTCCTCAGAGGGGTGTGCATTGTTCCTTGTAAACAACAGCATCTCACGTGGTATTGTTGTCGTTTTTATGTTTTGTTATTTGTTGAATGAGTATATACTGACATTCAGAGGCTAGGCTTGACAAGGAGTCTCTGTTTCAAAAGATGAGCATATTCCTCTGGACTGGAAATGGAATTTAAAAGATGATCCCGTAAACAACTATTTGTTTTACAAAGCATCTAAAATGTGGAAAATAAAACGTTGATTTTATGTTTCCCAGTTTGTTTATTTGAGTAACGCACAAGACAACTGTATGCAAAAAAAACATGCATCTACTAGATTTATATTAAAATGATAGAAAAAGACAAACTTTTATCTAAAGAAACTTGGAAGCAATGTTTCATACAGAAGCCAACAATATTAGCAGTTATTTTAATAAAATAAAAAAGAGCAGAGGTGCACCTGCTAAAAAAGGAAACTAAAGGGAACAACGAAGATATATACAGGGTAAAATTTTAGTTAAAAAAATAATACAATAATACAAAGTGAAGCGAAACAAAACTGAATGATCAGATCCAAAATAAAACTTGTGCACCAGAAGTTTTGAGAGCAGTTCATGGGCCGATCTGGTAGGAATACATGCCACAATTTGTAAAACATTTGCATGCTTATGTATCACGGCTCAAGGGTTTGTCAGCGCGGTTGCCCTGTGTGTGTGTGTGTATTTGATTGTGGTCTCAGGATGAGTGTGTGTAGAGAAGCCGTATGTAGGACAGCGCCCCAGCGCTCCCGACTGGAGCTATGGGCGTGCTAAATTTCTGCATGCATGATCAATGGCTTTGAATAAAGAGAACGAGAGAGAGGGGGAGGGGAAGGAATTAGTTTGAAAAGGGGGTTGAGAAGAGGTTGAAAACAGAATGAGAGAAAAGATGAGACAAGATGCATTTATGACGAATCTGGACTAGCCTCACACAGGCCTCATTATGAGAAGTGTGCGGGAAATGTACCTGAATGGCAGAACAGAGGGAGAAAACCACTGATGTGCATTTGCTCTCATCGCAACTTTTATTCTGTTGCACTTGGCTGGCGTCTCAAACACTGAAGTTGGGTAATGAAGCAGGCACTGGAACGGTACAAAAGCAAAATACGAAGTTATGCACAGAAAAGATCAACAGAGGCATTTTTAATAGGGGGAATGTGGCTAGTTATCAGAGGGACCGTAACTATACGATTTTGAGTCACAAGTTTAAATACACAAATGCTTGTTTTCTCTAGCGGTGCTTTTGTATGTTGGCTTCAAACATCTACTTCAAAACTGTCAGAAGGACAGGATTGGATTTTGTGAATTCTATATTGCTGTAGCTAACAACAAGTAAACATTATAAAGCCACACTGACATTCAGACCAGAGTAAACTATATAACGAAGCCTGAAATGTGTTTCACAAATGTTGTCTTTTTTTCAGTTTATTTATTATATTTTCCGTCGGCTAAAACACTATACATTTGACCTTTTATATTATTAGCTATATCCCATGATATTACATTTGCCAACCCAATGTGACAACTTACCCCGTATATCGTGACAACATGCAATGCGTGTTAAATGAAAAGAAACAGACTTTCAGAGCCACAACTAGCCTATGCTTTTTTCCACAATAAATGTTGATTGATTTAGCTTTGCATTATAAAAGTTTACTATATCATAAAAAAGTCCTATGAAACATGATGACGAAATGTTTTGCTCTATTTATGTTTTGCTCTAAACCTAGACAAAACTAGTGTGATTTTCTTGGTCATTCATCACTCCTGTGGCTCTTTTGACTGAGTTTCTCACATGCTATTGTTGCTCTCTAACCTCGCTCAACCCTGAGATCTCCTCCCTCATTTTGTTAAGTAGGAAAGGAGGCCTAACTTTTGACCTCTTTGTCTTTTCCTCCCTTGTCTGCTTTGACAAACTGCAAAACCAAAAGAGAGTAAAGTCACTACTATGGCTATAGATGTGCTACTGTTCATAAGTTTGCAATAAGTATGATTTTTAAAAGAAGTCTCTTATGCTCACCGAGGCTGCATTTAAAAAAAGAAAAAAATACAGAAAAAAAATGTAAAATTGTGGAATATTACAATTTACCATAACCGTTTTTTATTGTAATATATTGTAAAACGTAATTTATTCCTGGGATCAAAGCTGAATTGTCAGTATTATTACTCCGGTCTTTAGTGTCACATGATCCACATGATCAGTAATCATTTTAATATGCTGATTTGCTTATCAAACTTTTGAACTAATATATATTATTAAAGAAAGTAAACAGTCAGTAATAAAATATGAACAAATAATCAAATTACAAGCAACAGCACAAGACACAAATGAAATTAACAGTGCTTTTCAGGTTTTTCAGGTAGGTCTAACAGTATAGTTTCCAAAGTACAAAATGTAATAATGTAAAATAACACTGCATAGTCATCTATAAATTAAACATCCTTATTAATCAATCCTTATTAAAGTAGCAAAAGTTGTGTTGGTGATGTTTTCTTTTGTTGTCGTTTGTTGTTTGATTAACATTAAAAGCAAGAATATTAGGCTGCTGTCACTTTTAGAGCGAATGCACAAATCCAATATACTGATACTGTACACATGCGTTTACGTTCTCACATGTTTACGTTCACTTAGGCCCCGATCACACTATAGCCCCTTTCACACAGAGATTCCGGAAAATACACGGATAAAGTGACCCGGGATTTGACCCGGGTTCGTTTGATTTTGCTTCATTCACACTGCCAGTGATTTGCTGGAATCAGAGAGCGCGTTCACACACAACCCGTGTATGTTCCGGAAAGACGCGTGACGTTGGATGTGACGGGTCTCTACTTCAGTCCAGTTTGCAGACATTTTTTCGTTCTTTCTTGTATCGATGACGAACACAAATTTTCTTCTAGAGTAACTGAGTCGCACGATAACTACGTCATTGCAAAGGCTCGTGAATCATCACTACGACACACCCCTTATACGGCATTGGTTCTGGCTTTTGTTCACACAGCGCGCGTTCCGGGTCTGAACACGGCAATGTTACTAGGTCCCCAACCCGGCATCGATCCCGGGTCGTGTTTGCGTTCACACAGAAGGCACTCTGGCAATTTGCCGGGTTCAAAGCGCTGTGTGAAAGGGGCTTATTGCAGTGAGCGGTCTGCGCGCTGTTTATGCGCCCCAGACCCCTCGCGTTTTACCGCCTGCTGCGCCTTGCGTTTTTGCAGTTAAAAAAAAGCAACTCCGAGCGGAAAAAGCGCCGACATCATCGCGTTTTTTTCCCACTATCCAATCGAATGAATGGAGAGGGGGGCCTTCCGTTGTAGTGATGAAAGCTACAGTGGCTTTGAACGTCCGGAGAGTGCGATGATGGAGGAGAAACTTGTGGTGCTCTCGCGGGTTACCAGGAGCTTAACGACTTCACGAACCGTAACTACCACAATGTTAGCAGAAAGTAAATAAAGTTAATAAAAGGCTGATTTATTGTTTACTTGACTGACAGGACAGCTGTTTCGGTGGTTGCCTAGCAACATAAAAAACGCAGCGCACTGCTCATTCTGTGTGAACGGGGCAGTGCTTTGCACCTCGCGTTTTCAAACCTGAAAAACGCGTTTGGCCTTCAGACATAACCGACTATGTTTACTAGGATACTCTGTATTTTTGACATCATTTTGTGTGAATTTGTCCGCTCAAGTGCAAGAATACGTGAAAGAAAACTTAGTTTAGTATTCGCGCACTGTCTGAGAAGCGGCTTTCTGGGCGAGCGGTTCAAATGTGTGCGTACAAAACTTTCCACACAGTGTGCGAGTAACAGAATAAGCTCCCTTTCGCGTCTTCCTGCACTTGAATAAATTGTCAAGCAAGGTTTCAAACTTTTATGATGATGCAGCGCTGGCCCGTCGTCAACTGTCCCGACCGTCGTTCACGTTTGTTCATATTCATGCATTGTTAGAATTAAAAAAAAATTTACCGGCCAACTGGCGAGTGACACATATACACTCACCTAAAGGATTATTAGGAACACCATACTAATACTGTGTTTGACCCCCTTTCGCCTTCAGAACTGCCTTAATTCTACGGGGCATTGATTCAACAAGGTGCTGAAAGCATTCTTTAGAAATGTTGGCCCATATTGATAGGATAGCATCTTGCAGTTGATGGAGATTTGTGGGATGCACATCCAGGGCACGAAGCTCCCGTTCCACCACATCCCAAAGATGCTCTATTGGGTTGAGATCTGGTGACTGTGGGGGCCATTTTAGTACAGTGAACTCATTGTCATGTTCAAGAAACCAATTTGAAATGATTCGAGCTTTGTGACATGGTGCATTATCCTGCTGGAAGTAGCCATCAGAGGATGGGTATGGTGGCCATAAAGGGATGGACATGGTCAGAAACAATGCTTAGGTAGGCCGTGGCATTTAAACGATGTCCAATTGGCACTAAGGGGCCTAAAGTGTGCCAAGAAAACATTCCCCACACCATTACACCACCACCACCAGCCTGCACAGTGGTAACAAGGCATGATGGATCCATGTTCTCATTCTGTTTACGCCAAATTCTGACTCTACCATCTGAATGTCTCAACAGAAATCGAGATTCATCAGACCAGGCAACATTTTTCCAGTCTTCAACTGTCCAATTTTGGTGAGCTCTTGCAAATTGTAGCCTCTTTTTCCTATTTGTAGTGGAGATGGGTGGTACCCGGTGGGGTCTTCTGCTGTTGTGCATCCGCATCCGCCTTAAGGATGTGCGTGTTGTGGCTTCACAAATGCTTTGCTGCATACCTCGGTTGTAACGAGTGGTTATTTCAGTCAAAGTTGCTCTTCTATCAGCTTGAATCAGTCGGCCCATTCTCCTCTGACCTCTAGCATCAACAAGGCATTTTCGCCCACAGGACTGCCGCATACTGGATGTTTTTCCCTTTTCACACCATTCTTTGTAAACCCTAGAAATGGTTGTGCGTGAAAATCCCAGTAACTGAGCAGATTGTGAAATACTCAGACCGGCCCGTCTGGCACCAACAACCATGCCATGCTCAAAATTGCTTAAATCACCTTTCTTTCCCATTCTGACATTCAGTTTGGAGTTCAGGAGATTGTCTTGACCAGGACCACAGCCCTAAATGCATTGAAGCAACTGCCATGTGATTGGTTGATTAGATAATTGCATTAATGAGAAATTGAACAGGTGTTCCTAATAATCCTTTAGGTGAGTGTACTCGCCAACACCGCTTTTTACTCACATTTGGAGCTTGGCGAGTGTTCATTTTAGGCCCTTAATGTAAATGTTTACAGTTATGCCAGTAAACCTTAGCTGACTCAGACAGTTGAACATGTATCTGTTTGTTTGAGTGATTGCAGTAGTGATAGTTATATAGCTCAAAATGTTCAATTTGGATCTAGGCTACCTGTAAATTTTATGTCAAAATCAATTATGTTAAAGTTGAAATACGCGATCAGGGGTTCATCCATTTTATACAGTCTGGCAGCCATTTCTGGATTATTTTAACTCACGACTTCCTGCGGGAAACACTGGGACATAATTGATTCACAAGCTCTGTAACATGTTAGGTTTTTTTTTTTTTTTGTATGTTGGGGTTGCTGTATGAGGACTTGTTAAGTGTGTTTTAAGTGTTTGCAATTCAAAATCCAATAAAAATATTTGAATAATAAAAAAAATCTATTATGTTGCCTAGGAGTGAACTTCAACAATCAGAAAGTAAGGGTACTTCCAATCAGCACACAAATCACCTGAACACGAAGCAGTCTCTCCTCCGTCATCACACCTTTACCTCCAGTGATGAAAACACTTCCCATCCTCAGGGGAAGGCGCAGCACCACTGTTAAAAGGAAGAGAGGTAAACAGAAGGAGAGAACGAGTGCATCAACGCCCATTTCACTGTCATCAAGATCGCACGAAACTCCCATGTGATATCTCTCCTATCCGGATTACCTGAGTCAGATCCGCGGGCTGCAAGAACAACCCGACCATCAGCCAAATATCTCTCTTAATCCTTTTTCCATGCCCCCCTCCTTCCTTCAACAGATCACCACCATTCCTCTTCTCTATTTATAGGGTCACAGCGTTCCCTCTCTCTGTGGGATGAAGGGGGGTTTCATTTGGAGCGTCACCCTGCCTGGTTAGTGAATGGGTTAGTGATGGGGGTCAGGACGGAGGACATGGGAACCCCCTACTGACCAGGGCACATTTATTTTTACTTTTTTTATTTGTTTAACATCCGTCCGATCAGGTGGATCAGTTTGCCGTGCTCTTAAAGGGATAGTTCACCCAGAAATGAAAATGCTGGCATTGCTTGCTGACTTGTTGCAAACCCGTATCACTTTCTTTCATCTGTGGAACATAAAAAGAGACGTTAGGCAGAATGTACAAGCAGATCTTTTCCATATAACGAAAGCTTAAGAGCTTTCAAATGACAAAAAGACTGAACAAGTTATTATTAAAAGTCATTATTCACTGAATGTCTTGCTATAATTACTCATTTAATGATGAACAACAAATATATATACATGGCTTCAGAACTATAATCATACCAACAAATATATTTAAACAAATGGCTATAGGTCTATACTGCAGATATTGAAATATTTCAATAATACTAAAAATATATCTTCCAGAGTTTTAAGAAATGATTGACGCAGACAGGTTATAATAGGGTAGCCTGGGAAAACCCAGACAACTTCCGGCAAATTTAGATTTGCTCTGAAAGTTAGTCTGGCAAAGAGCTCATTCAAGCCCATTTCCAATCCGTCGAAATCGAGGCACCAATCAGAAACGTTGGGGCGGGCTTTACACGATGACGACAGCGCTGGGATTTTGAAGCAGGTTTTGTAGCCTACATTACACAGATGGATGCCGCTGTCGAACATCACTCGTTCGAATCAGCTCTCGCGTCTGTTTTAAGCCATTTGAACGTTTCCTTTTTGTTAAAAACCGAGCAAAGAACAACACTCGGAGATGTTTCTCCACCGCTCTGCATACGTCATCTCCTTCATCGCTCTGATTGGGTTTAGGTCTATCCGCGACGTCCGTTGGTGACGCCCCTCTGGAAATGATTTGTCTATGACGCTTTGCCAGACCATAACTCAGTTACAACTGAGAATGGTCTGGTTTTAACCAGGCTAATAATAGGGCCCCTTTCTTCCATCTTTAGTACAATAAAAACTATTGAGATTTCCCTTTTTCAGCCAAGCTAATGTTTGAAAACAACTATTGCTCATTCCAAGGCCCAATATGTATATGAACACAAATGCTTCTAGATACACAGAAAATCCTACAGACTTACCGTGAAGGATTGGACCCTAGAGTCATATCTAGACCAAAATAGCATAATATCATTTCAAAATATCAGACTTATTTTGACTTGGGCCAGAAAGCAAGACCCTGAACACCAACATGCATTGGCAACAATTTACCCTATTGTGGCAGTGAGGTTTGCATTGGGACGCACTCATCTATCCATCTCCTCCAGGAGATGCAAAAAACTTGATAATTATTTGAATCTGAATATGTATTCTTCCCCAGTTTCTTTTAAACTTTAAAAGCAGTTTGTGCCCTTCATCTAGAGAGAGACTGCTTTAACAGGCTTTATTTTTGCCATTTTGGCTCCCAGACTTATTCAACCAAAACTAAACTTTTTATTTTTGAAAAGCCACTACTTCAATACAGCCTCCCAATACACTTTTACATCAACCTCAACTCAAACTCTAAATAGGTTGTTTAGGTCACTCAAAAAAATATTTCAGCAATTACTCACCGTCATGTTCTTTCTTCCATTGAACACAAAACGACACAGGAAGAATGCTGAGCTGTTTTTTACCTCCATACAGTGAAGTATGGTGCCGTTGAGCTGTAAAAACACACTATAAGCACTAAAGAAGTAACGTCTTAAAAAAAGATCAATGTACAATACTGTTAAAAAGTTTTTTAAAGAAATCTTATGCTCACCAAGGCCGCATTTATTTGATCAAGAATACAGTAAAAATACTATTACTATTTAAAATAACTTTTCTATGTGAATATATGTTAAAAAATTTAATTTATTCCTGTGATCAAAGCTGAATTTTCAGCATCATTACTCCAGTCTTCAGTGTCACATGATCCTTCAGAAATCACTCTAATATGATGATTTGCTGCTCAAGAAACATTTATGATTATTATTAATGTTAAAAATAGCTTCATATTTATTTGTATACTGTACCATATTTTTTCAGGATTCTATGAAAACATTTATTTGAATATCTTATTGTCACTTTATCTTGTTTAAAGGATACTATTTCACAGTAAAAATATTTAAACATCCTTTAAACAACTTAAAATATACTGTCAAAAATAGGAACAAATGCTGTTTTAGCAGTACACTCATTATCCAAGTCTTTTTAAGCCTCTGGTACTGTTTGTGTGTGGGTAAAAAATGTCAGAAACATTTTTTCTTTTCTTTTTTTCAATGAAATGATTGTATATAATTTAAATACATTATACATATATTATATACATATATATATATATATAATGATTTAATTTTATGGTACTAAATTATGCAGTAGTTATAATTCATTTATTCACTTTTTGAGCACTTAAATGGTCATACATTTTCAATGCTTTTGAGCACAGACTTCAATCTTGTCTCTTTTTATAGAAGATATGGTGGCAGATTATTGCTGAAGTGAAAAAAAGTTTTAAAAAGTGCCCTTGAAAAAATTATACAATTTTACATTTATTGTTATGAAAGATGCACAAAAAATGCAATTTAAAATTTTTATATGAAATATGTTTTCCAAAACAAGTTGCTTTAATCTATAATGGTGAGAAAATCAAAGCCATTAATCTAAACAAGTTGTGTTCCAAATTTGCAACATGACATCATGACTTTGCGTAAACATACACGCCACTTTCAAGTCAAGTGGCGTGTTATCTATACGCATTTTGAGCTATCCGCGTGTATGTCCACGCCGAAACGAACCGTCATCTTTTGCGTGTATGTCTACGCCGTTAAATGTCCGAGTGATTCCGCGTGTATGTACACGCCGTTAAATGTCCGAGCGAAACGAAGCAAAATGTAGATCTACATCTGGGGAGCGATATTTTTTTTCCTAGGATGGTAGGGGAAGACTCATAAATGGTATTAACCCCAGTGACGGGTAGGTTTAGGGACGGGATTGGGGTAGGTCATATATTTATATATACAGTAATGTAACGTTAAGTCAACGGCGTTGATAAACACGCTGAAAAGCGATTATGCGTGTTGATAGCACGCCAAAAATGGAAATACGAATTGGCATGTCATACATACGCCATTTCATGAGATCAGTCAGCAAATTTGAGGTTGAGGTCTCAAAAAATTAGCTTTCAGTAAGATTTTGTTTGAGCGCAGTACCAAAAGTTTCCACTCAACCAATCAATCAGCATGTTCAGCACCCAAGTCCCACCCCCAAAAGATCCTAAACCTACCTCACGAGCAGAGACTTTCTGATGGGGACCTTTTTACTCTGAACTTCATTTAGACCCTGGTTCCTGCGGTCGAAACACACCGAGTACCACCCTAGTTTCCTTCTCTGTGGGCCTCGAGATAGTTCACGTAGTGTAACTGCGCAGCGCTTCTGTGTTGTACGTCACACGCATCACACACACGACCAACGTCAGCCAACAGTGAGCCTACATTTGACGCACAACCCAGAAGCGCTGCGCTGTTACACTACGTGAAATCTCACGGCCCACAGAGAAGGAAATGAATAGTTGAATAAAGTCGTTATTTTTGTTTGTTTTTTGCGCACAAAATGTATTCTCGTCGCTTGATAAACTTAAGGTTGAGCCACTGTAGTCACTCGGACTATTTTAACGATGTCTTTAACTTTTCTGGCCCGGCAAGTTTCAATCCCTTAGAAGCCTATGGAGGAGTGATCCAGCTCTCAGATTTAATCAAAAATATCTTAATTTGTGTTCTTAAGATGAACGAAAGTTTTACGGGGTTGGAACAATATGAGGGAGAGTAATTGCTGACAGAATTTTCATTTTGGGGTGAACTATCCCTTTAACCACCATTTTTAAAAGTCTGTAAAAGTCTGTCAGGCTGCGTTCACACTGCAGGGGCTTAATGCTCAATTTCGATTTTTTTAAAAAAAATTGATTTTTTTGCAAGGCCGTTCAAATTTCCAATTAAATGTGACCTTTTGTGATCTCCTGTGTGAACGTGAAATGACCCAGAAGTGACCCGCATGCGCAGAAGAGTACTCAACGGTCAATTCCCGCCTACTTCAACGCAGAATTATGACGTTTGTCGCATATCAATGACGTGCGGGTCGGATACATGTGACCTGGCCATTCAGATTGAAGTCGCATTTCAAAAGATCGGATACATATCGGATTTGGACCACATACCCAAGTGGCCTGGGTCGCATTTGAAAAGATCGGATCTGTGTCGTTCAGACTGTCATGAAAAGATCAGATACAGGTCGCATAGGGGCAAAAAAATCGAAATTGGGTCGTTTCAGCCTGCAGTGTGAACGTAGCCTTAGAGTTGTTTGCTATTCGAATCAACAATGGAGTTTAAAAAATACGACAGATGGACGGAAGACGAGGTTCAGGCTTTATTAAGCTTATATGCGGAATCCAGCGGGAACGGGAAAGTCACGCGCAGTCCTACGTCACCGCACTAATTTGCCTAATCTTCACTGTACTTTAGACGCGGGGTGACACTTTAGGCTCAAGTGTGAACGTTTTTTTCAGGAACATTTTATCCTTTTCAAATCATGGTCATGATTTGGTGTGTGTGTGTGTGTGTCTTCACACAGAAAGTGCCAAAAACCTTTACCAAGTTTTGTACCATGAAGTTAAAAAATAAAATAAAGTCAAAAATGACTGAACAGCACCAGGGTTAAGATATAGCTTTTGAGAGTCACAGACCAAAATGAAAGCCCTCATTGTATGGAAAAGTGCAGCGCACACATGCAACAAAACATCTCCTTTTGTGTTACACAGCAGAAATAAAGTCATGAAGTTTCATTTCCGAGTGAATTACTCCTGCAGTGGCAGCAAATGGCTATAATGACGCGTGTTTTTCTCAGTGAATGACAGCATGAGAGGTCACAGGGTGAATCTCGGCTTGTCTCTCACGGTGCCACTGCTGTCATCATAGCACACTGTAAACCAACACTCATATAGATCCCCCCACCCACTCGCCCGCCTGCCACATCGACTCAGTTACACTTGTTCTTTGCTGACCAGCTGCACACAGATACACACACACACACACCAGAGTTTTGCATAGAGCTAAGCAGGACGGCTCAGAAGAGAAGATACCAATCATTGTTTATTTCATTCGATTTCTTTTCAGTCTCTTGCGAGCAACTTGAGTTCTGATGTGATTTTTGTGAATGTGTGGATGTGTTTCAGTTTGCCGTGCAATT